GTAAAATTACCTTTGGTAAAATATCCTGATTTTAATAATTTACTGAGGGTGTAGTGCATTCTTTAAATGACACATTTATGTTGATGTACTATTAGTGTTGACAGTAATAATATCTGTATAATAAAATCTATAGACAGTATTTTCATGGACCTGTGACTAGGGAAATAAGACTGTTTTGACATCAAAAAATCTTGAGCAAAATTTGAATATGGCATCCAAAGAATGACTCTTTACATGCTCAGCTTTGTACATCCCCATCACCACATAATAGGAACTGAAATTTACTTGTTTCCTCAGCCTGGTGGACCTGTGCTCTTTCCATCAGTGCAAGCGGCCTCACTGGTGCTGAATGGACAGCTCTGGATAGCATTCAGATCAAGGTGGCTGTGGGTGCCTAGGACCCACGGATGGCTTCTAAGGAGCTGTAAGCCTCATAAAATTAAATGCAAAATTGTGTGTTTATGATTGTATGCACGTTTTCCCAAGAGGATCCATAGCAGTGAAAGTTTGCAACCAATACAATTAAAGGATAAAATCTATTGCTCTACTCCTATCAAAAGATATGCAATTTTCATAAAGGGTACCCTAGTATTTATAAATTATAGTAATGTGCCCCATCTTCTATCCAGACCAGATAACTAAATGATAGTAACCTAGTAACACCCAAACATCCACGTCAACTTTTCCACAAAGTAAAACAAGGTCTCTGTATGCATTGACTATATATTAAATATACCTTACATTCCTTAAATGTTTTACAATTATACCTTAATAAATTAACATATAATATATAGGTATATTATACTTGGTATATATAATATACTTCACATATAGCTTATATATCATATAATAATTTATATTATGTGATACTATATTATAATATATAATTTACATACTATTTAATAATCATAATCATATTATGTTATTTAACAATATAATATATTAACATATACTTATATTATTTGATATATTAGAATAGTTATATACATAATGTATAACTATATTACATATTATATTATATATTATTTATATGCTTCACATATAAATATTATATATAATATTGACATAAATATATATTGATATATATTAATATATACTTCATATATAATATAATGTATTATATGTGAACTACTATATATAATATATAACAATATATAATATAGTAATATTGATAATATTAAACTTTGGAGAAAATACACTGTGGAAGTTTATATTATATATGATATATACTATATAAGATATATATTATATTATATAATATACATATGAGGTATTATATAGACTTCATATATAATACCTCATATATGTTATATATGAAGTATATAATAATATATAACACCTTAATAATTATACTTTATAACATTTTTGCTAATCCAAAGGCAATTTATCTCAAAACTTAGAGTTTACTAACTTAATATAAGTGGGAGTGGAGGAGAGTAAATTTTGACAAAAAATGGAGCAGCAAAAAGTTCTTTTCAAATGTTTGATTATTGTTTCACAGAATATAATTGTAGTTTCTTAAAATATTAGTTTTTCATCTGTTTCATATTTCTCAGAAATAACCCTTAGATGTTAAGGCTCCTCTGCAGGAATCGCGTGAATATGAATGAGTGCAGAAAAGCTGGAGAGAAGAGGTCGATAAATGTTTAAATTAACTAACTTGATTTTAAACTATCCGATAAATATTTCTCTTAGAAATTTAGGCATATTTTGATCAGTTTTGTTTCTATTGTTTTCTTTTCTTGATCCGCTTCTCAGCTGTGGCTGCGATCTCTGGCATCTCCACAGCATTGATGAAAAAACTCTTAAAATGATTTGTGTCTTCTGTCTTGTGTGGTGTTCTCTCTTCTCTCTCAATTTAAAATATCAAAATTGCTTAACATCTTTCTAGGAAGCAGGTAACATAATGGTGAGTTTACAATCTTCCTCTTGTTCCTTTGTGTATAGGGGTCAATTTTATGTTGGTAATATGGTGAATGATCAAGCTCCAATATTAAACTTTGGAGAAAAGAAATATCCTACATTGTGGAAGTTTGAATTAAAAGATCTCTTTCAAGTGCAGTTGAGAATTTAGCCATCACTCTATCATTCAGAGATAAATTAAAATTCAGTGTGCTAGTGTATATGCATGTTTTACATCAAAGGCAATGATACCAAGAATGCATACTTAACCCTCTGCCGTGAGGAGTTTGAATTGGAAAATTTTAATCCAGGTTATAAATCACTTGAGAGACTTTTAAACTAGCCACAAGGGGGCAGCAAAACACACAGGATTCCCTGAACCCACTGACGCAGGAACATTCCGCCGTGTCTTATGAAGAAGGCAAACGAAAGAACGAATTCAAGTACCTGGCGTTTGAGCCGTCTTCGAACACTGGCATTTCTAGTACAACTACAGTGAGTCTAGCAGGGGGGACACTATACTTCCTAAGATAACCGAATAATATATGAGACACCAACTTGCAAAGTATTTTTTTTTTTGACGGAGTCTCGCTCAGTCACCCAGGTTGGAGTGCAGTGGCGCGATCTCAGCTCGCTGCAAGCTCCGCCTCCCCGGTTCAAGCGCTTCTCCTGCCTCAGCCTCTGGAGTAGTTGGGATTACAGGCGCCCGCCACCACGCCAGGCTAATTTTTTTATTTTTAATAGAATCGTGGGGGTTTTACCATGTTGGTCAGTTTGCTCTCGAACTCCTGACTTCAGGTCATCCACCCGCCTGGGCCTCCCAAAATGCTGGGATTACAGGCATGAGCCATGTGCCTAGCCCCTTTCTAAATATTATGAAGGGCTGCTGTGATGTGCACCCAGGGAGGGCGAAAACCTGGCAGTCGCTCATGATATTTCCCAGTGGAGCAAATTGTAAATTCCTCTTCCTCCTTCTCCTATAATGATTTCTCTTTATTCCAGGGGCAAATAACAATAGGTAAAATATCAATTAGATTTAACTTTTAAAAATAGGGAACAGACTCTCTTGCAGAAGCAGTAAATACTTACGAATCGCTTGGCAATGATCAGGCACTGTTCCGCAGGGATGAGTCTAGATTACTGGTCAAACCTGGATTTTATTGTCAGACTTTCTTGGTGTGAAACTGTACAAGCTTGGGCAGATTTCTTCGCCTTTAGATATCTTAGTTTCTTCACTTGTAAGATGAGGCTAATTCTATAGGTTGCTTTAAAGATTAAGTAAAGTAATATATGCCAGCCCAGTGGCTGACATTTGATGATAATTGAATTAACAGTTATAAAATTACTATCATAGATGAGTGGCATGTGGTATTAGTATTGTTTCTTGGTAACTAAATGATTATATGTAATTTCATTTAATTCTTACAACCAGTGTGAGAGACCAGTTTTACTTCCCTCCATTTTTATAGGTGAGAAGTTGAGGTTCAAAAAGACCGATTGCCTAATATAAATAAAACGAAAAAGCTAGGATTTGAACCTATCATTTTTCTGACTCCCAGCTCAGGTACTTTCAGCCATACCTATGTAGGTAGACTACCATCATTTTTTCCCCCTCTTTCTGGTAACTCCTAAAGTCACCCGAAGTCACCTAATAGATCTTGGAAATGACTTAGAAGTTCCACTAGGCCAGCACAAGGCAGGATCACATGCGTCTTATCATGCACTAATCAGACCAGGGTATGGAGATGGAGGAGAAGAGAGAATTTCTAGTAATCATGGAGGAAGCAAGTATTACCCCCATGTCTCAAACCGAAACCAGCCTCAGCTGGAAAAATCTCTCTAAGGCAACGTACTTTAAACTCATGAGCACACTTATTTGTGTATCTCCTACGTCATCGAGTGTCATCCTTGTGTAAGGGGGCAAGTGATTGTTGAAATGAGTTGACTCATCTATGGTGAAGAGCTATATGGATGTCTGGAATCAGAATATGTTTCTGAGGTGTTTTTTTTTTTTTTTTTTTTTTTTTTTTTTTTTTTTTTTTTTTTTTTTTTTGAGACGGAGTCTCGCTCTGCCGCCCAGGCTGGAGTGCAGTGGCCGGATCTCAGCTCACTGCAAGCTCCGCCTCCCAGGTTCACGCCATTCTCCTGCCTCAGCCTCCTGTGTAGCTGGGACTACAGGCGCCCGCCACCTCGCCCGGCTAGTTTTTTGTATTTTTTAGTAGAGACGGGGTTTCACTGTGTTAGCCAGGATGGTCTCGATCTCCTGACCTCGTGATCCGCCCGTCTCTGCCTCCCAAAGTGTTGGGATTACAGGCTTGGGCCACCGCGCCCGGCCTGTTTCTGAGGTTTTTAAGTCTTGAAGAAACAATCAGTTGAGTGCATAGAATTTTTGCTCTATTTGCTCTCTCTTAACATGGAAATGGAAAGATCCCCTTTGCATTTTTAATTGGAGAAGGCACTCTTAGTTAATAGGCTTACAGAACATGTCCTCACCATGTGCACTCAGAAACTACATTGAATAAACTTTTAATTATTTTATTATTATTTTTGAGACAGACTCTCACTCTGTCACCCAGGCTGGAGTGCAGTGGCGCGATCTCGGCTCACTGCAACCTCTACTTCCCAGATTCAAGCGATCCTTATGCCTCAGCCTCCCAAGTAGCTGACGTTACAGGCTTGTACCACCACACCCAGCTCATTTTTATATTTTTAGTAGAGTCGGGATTTCACCATGTTGGCCAGGCTGGTCTTGAACTCCCGACCTCAGGTGATCCGCCCGCCTCGGCCTCCCAAAGTGCTGGGATTACAGGTGTGAACCACTGCACCTGGCTGTGAGCGCACTTTTTAAAATTAAAAATACAAACATACAAACAAAACAAAACACACCCTCTCTGGGTAAAACAGCTGAATTATCCACCAATTCTTTGTTATTGTAGAGCAGTAGCTACGCCCGTAAGAGAGATCACCAGCGCGGAATTACCAAGAAAAAGCCTGCTGAGCTATATACATGCTTATTCCTTATTTCAACTGACATTAATATGGAAATGATACGAGATACTCCTTTAGTACCTATTGATTTTCCCACATTATTTTACAGAAACTCTTGGGTCCCTCCAGATGAATAAAAGCTGTCCTCAGATCCTCACTTACTCCTGTAATACAGTGAGCATCACAAAGTAAAATGAAGTCTGAGCAAGATCCCTCTTGGTAAATAGTCTGCTGCTGAGTGCCCCATGGCACTTGGCCACCGTGACACCAATTTCAGAAGGTTAGATCTAAATGGCGAATGTTCTTAAAATACCTTCCTAATTGTCTGTTGACTTTAAAAATCATATTTAACAGTAGTATTCATTTATGTCCTAAATGGGAATTGTCTTGTTTTTCTCTTTGGTGCCCTTGATATTAAATTGCTGTGGTTTGGGGAGGATTCTAAGTGGACTCTGTTTGTTCTTATTGCGCGTAGGCCTTGAGGAATATACTGACTTCCTGTGAATTTGTCTCACTGCAGAGCAAGGGGTCTGGGTGACCGTGTCAGAATGTTGGGTAAGATGTGGGGGTGAGTGGGTGGGGGTTAGAAGCCTCCAACTTGCCTAGGAACAGCTCTCCATTCTTTAGTTTCTTCTTGAGCCAGACCTACAATCTGAAGAGTACTCTCTGTGTACTCTGAAGAAGGCACCATGATATTTCTTTGGGTGGTACACACTTGCAAATGAAAGGTCATATTATGCTTGGTAGATTTCTCATCACTTATGATTATTTAAGCAGATGGGAAGGAATTCTACAAAATAAGGACATAGAAAGGCCGACGCGGTAGCTCAACGCCTATAATCCCAGCACTTTGGGAAGCCGAGGCGGGTGGATCACGAGGTCAGGAGATTGAGACCATCCTGGCCAACATGGTGAAACCCCGTCTCTACTAAAAATACAAAAATTAGCCAGGTGTGGTGGCGCATGCCTGTAATCCCAGCTACTTAGGAGGCTGAGGCAGGAGAATCGCTTGAACCTGGGAGTCGGAGGTTGCAGTGAGCCGAGATCACGCCACTGCACTCCGGCCTGGCGGCAGAGCAAGACTCCCTCTTTAAAAAAAAAAAAAAAAAGTACATAGAATAGTTAGATATGGAAAAAGGGATAAATTATACTTCGTATAGTGATTCCTCTACTCATTCTTGATAAACTGTAGAACACTGCTTCCCTTGTCACACAATCCTTTTAATTAAAAAAAAAAAATGCAACGATATACTTGCTGAATTTTTACAAGATTCTTAAGTCAGCTTTTGACATGGAGACATGTTCTTGCTGAATGAATAAATCAAGATAGAAAACCTTATTTATTTAGCCAGAAATGTGTCCTTGCAGCTGTTCCCTGGAGCTCTCAGAATTGCCTAGTAGTGGATCTCATAGAAAGAAGTTATAGGTGAAGCTTCAGTAGAAAAGGAACCAGAAAGACAATCACTAATGTTCTTTTCCTCCCTTCTCCTCCCCTCTCTGCCCCTCCCTTCCCCTCCCCTTCTCTTTCTTCCCTTCCCCTCCCCTCCCCTTTCTTCCCTTCCCCTCCCCTTCCTTCTCCTCCCCTCCCCTTTCTTCTTTCCCCCTCCCCTCCCCTCCCTCCTCTCTCCTCCCCTCACTTCCCTCCCTCTCTTTCCAGTTTTCTTTCTTATTTCTTCCTCTACTCCCTCTTCCTCCTCCTCCTCCTTTAAGAAATGACATAATTTAAGACACTGCTGCAGATGATTTAAAACATATATTTACCTTCCTTTTTTGGATATGACCTAAAAGGAAAAAGTGATGTAAAGGAAGAAAACGACAGGTTAGAATAGCTCCTCCTCCTCTTCTGGTTATAAAGATTGGTCTCCAGTAGCATCCTATGAAGGCAGCTGGAGGCGATCTGCTCAGTGTCAGGGTGGTGTTATGTGCTTGTCTGAAAAATGAAAAGATGATTTAATCTCGTGTGTGTGTTTTAACAGGATTAACTTCATGACCCCATGGGAGGAGGGGTAGAGAAAGGATCTCACACCGGTGGCCTAAGGAAGTGCAATTATGGAAACTGGAGGGTGTGTGCTAACTGCCAACCAGTCCGGAACTTCAGTTGTGCTCATAAGGGTCCACACAACAACCTTCATCCTTGCCCAGGCCGTAAACCTCATCTGGGTTATTTTGACTCTCCATCCTGAAGTTATTTTTCTTCCCCAGTGCAGGTGAGAACGTGTTCATCAGGTCAGCAGGGAAAGGCATACAAAGCAGGATAATGTAGAAATCTACTGGGAGAACTCTCTTTTGTCCATGAGCTAAACATACCTTAATCACCTTACCTTTAAATCAACGAACAAACAAAAAGCATACATAAGAACCAGAAGCAAAGAAAATAGCAGTGACAGTAACCAAAGTAAACAAAAACAAAAACTATCTTGTACTCCTCTGGGTTGCAGATTTTTAACATAACTTTAAAAAATTATGATTAAAATAGATATTCATTGGGAGAATGCAGATAAGCAAGTAGAAAACAATGAAACACAATCTTAGCATTCAGAAATAACTCTGGTTATATTTTTTGGGTTTAGACTCTCAAAGTGCATGTGTGTGTGTATCCCTGTGTGTGTGTGTGTGTGTGTGTCTGTCCTACACACAACCAATACAAACATAAATTTACCAAAATGAAAACGCGTTTGCTCTTATTACTCTTAATAAGCATACTCATTCTTTAATAACTGCAGAATATGTGATCATATGAGTGTACTATAGTGAATATAACTGGCTCTGACTACTGTGTGTGTAAGATGTCTTGCAATTTTTCTTTCTTATAAATTGCTTTATAAAAATTGTTCTTGTAGCCAAGTGTTTGTGACGTTACAAATGTTTACTTAGGATAAATTCCTAGAAGCAGGATTTCTACGTTAGAGGTTAAGGACATTCTGAAAGCTTTTGCTGTTAAGTAATGTGAAGACACCAAGAGACCTCACCCCCATATTCTTTTGTCAGCAGTGTATGAGATGCCTAGATTCTTACTACTCCTGAGGGTAATCATTGAAGTGAAAGGAAATACTTAAAAGTGGATTTTTAAAGACGAATGACTAGGCAGTTTCATTCAGCCTTTTGGAATATTCAGACTTTATTGCCGGACCAGTCTTTTCAGGGAGTTCACTTGTTACCAAATGACTTAGAGTCACACTATAAAAGGGGTCATGCCGATGGTATTGTTCATTCACTTATAAGAAAGGTCACGTCTTTCTTGCTTTATTCAAAGGAGCGGAAGCTGGCTTGCTTCCAGCTGGGATATCCTGATTGGAAGTCAGCTCGGACAGTCAGCTTTGCTCCTTCCTTTACCATCCTCTTAGTGCAAGTTCCTCAAAGAAGAGTGGGATGTGTACACATGCTGATTTGCACATACACAATGCATCGAACACGTGATCTACTTTGCCCATCCTGTGTGGCTTTGGGGTCCAAGGGGAAGGGAGAGGTAAGAGGCTGAGAAAATGGGCATTTCTTCCTGGTAAGTCTGTATCAAAGATGAGTGTTTGGCTCACCAACAGCTGCTACACTAATTATTCATCTTAATAACAATGAGTAACGATTTTTAAAACTCGCAAGCGCCTACCAACACTACATTTAGTGCTATACGATATGCTTAGCTCAGAGTCCTTGTTGGACATTTTATAATAGCCTTTAAAATAATATCTTACATTTTCAAAGCCCTTTACTGTGGACAAAATGTTTTCATATTGATAAGTGAATGTAGGGTGGGTGGTCAGATTTGGTGGTATTTCGTGCTCTTTACCCGTGTTTGAATACTGCTCAATTTCAAGCCTTCTGACGATTCCTTCTGTTTCAGATCTATCGTTTAAATCCTTACTTAAAAAAAAAAAAAAAAAAAACAATGATGGGCTCAAATCTCTTATCCTATTTCTTAATAGGATGGGATAAAATGAAAGATGTGGTTAGCTGTGATGACACATTTAAATAAATAGAAAAAATAGAAAAGTCAATCATGTGGCAAGATATGCTTTCACTTAGTGTCTTGTCCCCTGGAAGTCAACATGAAAAAGTGCTCTGGCTCTTGGATTAGAAAAAGCCCCAAACATCTTTCATGCATGGCTGGAAGCGTAAGACTCGTTACCTTGGCTCTAATCCAGTGCAAAGGGGAATTTCAAGAGCTGGTTCACATATTTGTAATTTTCCAGTTTTAAGCATACACTTCCTATCCTGGCCATTTGTGCTTTCTGGGGGAAGCTAGCAAATTGCTTGTGCAGAGGGAAAATGGTTCTTGATATCTTAAAACCGTAAAGTGCTGTGGGATATTTTTGGATAAAGAGTTCAGGGAGATCATTAATTTTGTAACCACTGTGTTGTCATTAGCACAGTTCTAGGCTTACAATGTTTTATTAGTGTGGTTTGCATGATTAGTTTACTTGGAGAATCATTGTAAATTATTGATGCTGTCATTCTGCTGTGGGGAAGCCTAGCAAACTGGAGGAAATAAAAAAGGCATAGATTTTGTTGTTGTTGTTTTTAATCCTAGTTTATGAGCTGCAGTACTCACTAAAGTGCTTTGGAAACCTACTAAAAGATTTATTAATTCAGGAAAAAAGATACTGGTTCAGAGGACCACCAGAGGAAGCTTCAGGGAGCAGAGGGGCCCCAGAAGGTCTTTGAGCAGGAAAATAGTACTGTGAGCAACAAACTACCTTGTTTGATTGAAATGGAGCGTTCTCTAAGAAGTTGAAAGGCAATGGGTCAAACAGATAAAACTTTGAGTCATTTCGATAAGAAATTTAAGAGTAGCTTTCGAGGGCTGGGCGTGTGGCTCCTGCCTGTAATCCCAGCACTTTGGGAGGCCAAGGCAGGTGGATCACAAGGTCAGGAAATCGAGACCATCCTGGATAACATGGTGAAACTCCGTATCTACTAAAAATACAAAAAAAATAATAATAATAATAATTAGCCCAGCGTGGTGGCAGGTGCCTGTAGTCCCAGCTACTCGAGAGGTTGGGGCAGGAGAATGGTGTGAACCCGGGAGGCGGAACTTGCAGTGAGCCGAGATCACACCACTGCACTCCAACCTGTGTGACAAGAGTGAGACTCCGTCTCAAAAAAAAAAAAAAAAAAAAAAAAAGAAAAAGAAAAATAGAGTAGCTTTCAAAAAGCCAGAGCTAAGTGCTAGGACAAATCTCCCAAGAAGATGGACACAGGTGATATATCCTACATAGTACGCCATGTAGCCCATCATGGGTGCTTACTGCGTGAGCGGCTACCCTTCTTGCAACTAAACATGGTGATCATGACTGGCCAGAAGCCCTTGCTGGAGGAAGGGGAGAAGAGCAGAAGGTATTTACATAAAAGATGCATCAGTACTTCTCATTGTGAAAATATACAAGTAAACCCAAAGCCCTTGTTGATGGCCGACCCTCAGTCCTGGCACTCTCTTGCTGGATTGGCTTATCCTTCTAGATGAGCTATGCTCTTTTGTGATTTTGGCTTCCTGTAAATGGTATCCCACTGCACATCCAAACATAAACGTGCTTGTAACATGTCAAGTATCTCTTGAAACTCTTTCTGTATAAGTGTACTCAGAACCACTTTTAATTTTAAACTGCAGGTTGCATTTTATAGTAGGATGTACTCTATATATGCGGTCATTCTCCTGTAAATAGATAGTTAGATTTTTCTGATGCTGCCTGCCTGATAAGAATGATGTTGTGGGTTCCAGGTGTTTAATGTCAGTTATTTTCTGCCCAGTCAGGCGAAGGAGAAGTAATATTCCACGAACGTCTGAGGTTGGCTGGCCAGCAGAGTTTGGATGGTCGAACACAGTTTTTGGCTCTGCCTTTGATGGGTAAGTGTGTAGGACCCATGTTGTTGCTTCTACTTAGCCTTAGAGGAAAACATCTTAACTACAGTATTGAGGGAACTATGTTTCCATCAGGAGACACTTGCATTTATTCCATAGGACAGTTAGGTTATGTTAATATTTTCTGACTTTCCTCTCCTTTCTGTAAGGGTAAAGGAAAAATAATTTTTAACCTATGTTTTAGACTTCAGTGAGAACCCTCTCCTATATTCACACTTTCATTACTTTTCAGTAGATTCACAGAAACATCTATGTAGACTTAACAGTTTGGCCATTAGCTTATGGTAAAGCTTAGGACATATTCTTCCTTGCCTAAGTGTGAGTATTAATTTATGATTTAAATGACTGTGTTGCCTTTTTGTTTTGTGACTGAGACAGGGCTGATACTGGTTATGGGATGTGTGTATCATCCCAGCTCCCATAAAAGGGGCTGATTTGCCTATTAAAATCATTAAAGGAATAAAACCTATTAGGGGAAATAATGATTAGGTCACAACATCCATGATAAATAGAGAACTGGCTAGTTAAAATGACCGAGTTAAAAATGTTAATTTTGTTCATGGGTTTTAATGTTTTATATTCCTGTTTAGCAGGAAGGGAGAATTTATTTAGGACTGAATGGAAGCTATTACAGGTGGTATTATTATTATAGAGTAACCCATGAAGAAGGATATTTTGTTTAAGCCTTCAATATCATACAATAAATATTAAGTATTTCATAAACAATAAAAATAATCTTTTCTCTGTTGACTTTGGTTACTGATACTATTTGAAATAGAATAATGAGTTCAGTTCAGGATATCTGAGAGCAAAGATTACAAGGGAAAATTGCTGAAGATAAACCCCCCCTCCTGCAATCTCTAAGGGCAGAGTTTATCTTGTCTGGTCTAACTCATGTGGGAATTTCAAACATCTGAAAAAGTTCTATTTGGAGTGAATGATTGGCCTTGAATTTTGACCTCTATAACAGAGATAACTTGGATTTTTTGGGAAATTTGATGATGATGTATAGTGAATTTTCTTATCTGGGAAAGATGAGTTTTTGAAGTGTTGTTATGGAATGGGTCTTTCTGGAAGAGTCTAGTTTTGACTCAAGCTAGCTTCCCAAATGCTGCTTGAAATCATAATATCTTGGAGAATGCTTGTACTGCTCTTAAGTGGGCAGGGAATCTTTGTTTATTCCCTGGCAGCGATGTATGGCATTTCCAGTTACTCAGGCTTAGGGAATAGAGCAGTCTTCTCCCGCAGGACTCAACTCTGCACCCTACAAAAGAATTGGCCTCGTTAGGGTACTTTTGATTTGTTGTGCTAGTTTAAGCAAGGGGCACTTGACTGGGTATGATTTACTTTGTGTTTACAAGAGGAAAACATATAAACAAACTTCCGTCTCTATTAGGTAATCGACAAATGTTTATGGAGTGTTTACTGTGCACTTTCAATTGTGCCATGGCCTTTTGGGGATATAAAAATAAATTATCGGAAGTTTCTGAATTACCTTCCCCCCAGACACCATTCTTTTCTCTGGGCAGGACTTTCCATTTAACTGTACCTAAAAGTCCCAAGTCAGATAATGTTTGAGATTGTGTCCTGCCTTCCCAGAAACATCAGCACATCTGGAGCTGTAGCCTTGGGGTTGCTTGAATTTGACTCCTAGCCCATTCTTCATGACTGTGTTCTGGACCCCTGGCAGGTCAGCTTTTTGTTTTGTTCCTGTCTACTGCTGACCTCTTCAGACCTTGCACTTGTCCATATGCCTGCCCCTGTCTGTTCCAAGTCAGGTTTCCAGCTTCACTGTCTGTTGGATTCAATTCCTATCAGCTACTGGGTCTGCTCCTGTCTTGGTCTTGCTTTGGTGACCCCTTTTCTACTCTTGGGCTCTAGATTCTGTTTTCTTTTAGCTCACAGCTTGGTGTTCAGCCATGGTTTATACCCATCATGACTTTATCCAGCTGTTCTCCAGAGTAGGTTGGGCAAGAGGATGTGTATGCCTTGGTGAAAAAGTATTACCTCTTTAGGGAAACTGTCCAGGATACCTGTGAAAACACATCCATTACTTTAGTTGTGGCGATAGCATGGTGGTGAGGAGCACATTCTGGAATTAGATAACGTTGATTCTCTGTCCTTTGTCTCCCATCTGTGTACCTTTGTAGGGGTTATTAATCCTCTGTTTTCTCATATGTAAAATGTGAACATGACAAATTTCACAGGGTTGCTATGGGCTAGAAGATGCGTAGGATATCCTCAGCATATAGTAAGTGTTCAGTAAATAATAGCTATTGCTTTCATTATAAGTGTCTGGGGAATTGCAAGTAGCTTGGTGTTATTATTGCATGCTTCAATAACTTGGAAGTTATGCTACCAGCTTTGGTTAGTCCTTCTAATTTATTACAAGTGATATATATATATTAAGTATCTTCTATGGGCAAAGGGTTATGTCAAGCACTTTCCAGGATGTAAAGTATAGAATATGATCTCTATAAAAACCTTGAAAGAGGTTGCAATGTATTAGGAAACAAAACAATTTTATTAAGAGGCCAAATGTGATAGACGGTGCAAGGGAGATGCCAAGTCTAGTGGGAGCAGAAGGAAAGAATGGGGTGTCTAATGGCTCAGATAACTGGAAAGGGCTCCATCAAGTAGAGGACATCTGAACTAGACCTTGAAGGATGTGAATATTTCTGGAGACAAAGAAGGGAGATGTAGGAATTTCAGTAGGCAAATATTGAGGTAAGAGGGCATATTTAGGGTAAAGTGATCTTGAGCAGGTAGATATTGAGGTAAGAGGAAGTATTTGGGGAAAGCGGTCTTACAGTGTTATTTAAATTGGGGATCTTTGTAAATGTACATTTGGAGACCATTGTATGAATGATCTCAAATGTCACGGCCAACAAATTTAGACTTTATTCTATGGAAAGTGAAGGATGTTGAGCAGCACAGTGTTATAATCAGGTCACATTTAAGGAAAGATTGGCTGGAATAGATCATGAGATGAATTGGAGCTGCTGTATTAGATGTGGAGGCAGTGAGAAGAGAGAATAAATTATTGCATTTGTCTAGGTGGGAGGAATCCTGGATTGTATTAGGATATAAGACAGAAAACATATAAGAGTCATTTCAGTGGTTGAAGCAAGAGGACTGATTGAATGTAGAAGGCAGGGAAGGTGGATACATTGGAAAACTCACTGGAGTCTGGGAGCCTGGGAAGACAGTGACATCATTAACATAGAAATGGAAGGAAGGAGGAGGATAAAGAAAGATGATCAGTCTTGTTTAGTGCATATAGATGTGGTGCCTAGGACTAGTGGCATATTCTGGTGGAAGCATTTAGCAGCCAGTTGGAAAGACCTTGTAAGGTAGCACTGCTCAAATCCCGTTGGGATCTAGTTTGTTTTTAAATCCATGTAGGCTAGAATCCTTCTCATACTTTTCTACTCAGTATTTTTTATTTATTTTTTGCACTATTCTCCTTAGCAGCATCTAATACCAGTTTTCCCCTTGGAGGTTTGCCCAGTGGTACAGTTAGGGAAATAATAATGATTCTGCCTGGTGTGTATGTGTGTGTGTGTGTATGTGTGTGTGTGTGCGCATGCGTGCGTGTGGTGTGTGTGTGTGTTTATTATAGCTCAGTCTATAAGGGAACATGCAATCTTTAACTTATCTGACCTCTGTTTTCTAACTTGTAAAATATGATGAATAATAATCACCTTATGTCTCCTAGGATAGTTGTATGTCCAAATTAGAATGTCACTAAAAACACAATTAAAGTGCTATATAAATGAAATGAATCATTCTTATACTCATCATCAAAGTCCATAGCGGATGTCTTTCAGGTGACTTTTAAACCCATTACCCCATTGCTTCCTATAAACTAGGAAATCACCCAATGAGAACTCCTTTTTTTTTTTCTTTTTTGGCATTAGCCTGTGAATCATAGACTTATTTCTTCTAAAGTGACAATTAAAAGCAAAGAGAAGGAAAGCTCAACTGCACAAACACATCTATTTATATTTTAAACTGAAAGTGCATCACCCAAACCACAAAACCCCAAATCAAATTTTAGCTCCTTCCGAGCCCATGTCCAGCCCTTGGGCTCTCCCGGAGGTGAACTGTTGGGAAAGTGTGTGGGCTTCAAGCCCAGGATCGACTCAGTGGCTTCTTCCTCTCCCATCCCCACGCCTTCCCTCCAGCACACCTGTTTGCAGAACTTCTTCCTCTCTTGCCCAGGCATTTTGATTCTGGTCACGACCACCTGTGAAGGATGACGCAGATGTAGCCCTACGCACATCCTTGCCTTGTTGCTGTCTTCAGGGTCCCAAACTGGGTTGATTCACCCCACAGGACGTTATTTTTAGCCTTTATCTCTTAGTGATTTTGTTTTCTTTCCGCTGCCTTTTGACCTGAGAGCTGGAAATAAAGTCCGCCTTCCATAAAGACGAGAAAGTTGTCAGTCATTTCCTTCCTGCTCACATGAAAGGCCGGCCCAGCGGGGCTTGCAGAAGATGCTGAAAGTTCCAGTTCACTGGGTCCTGAAAACACCCACACTTTAGGAGTGAATTTCATCTCTTCCGTGTAGACTAAGCAGAGAGGTTGCCTGGGATAGGCAGCTGTTCTTTCAAAGGGTCTTGAAGATGCTCAAGGGAAATGCAATGAAAGAAAACCACATTTTCCCTCTCCTTTTGATCATGGTTGCTGAACCCAAACACCTGGGCAGCCTCCCTACTTTTAAATATTTGAAATAATTAAAAGAAATTCACAGGCAAAACGAGAAATTATTGCTTTTAGCATGAAATCATATCACACTATAACATCATTGGACAGAAAACTTAGTTTTTACTATGAAATAAAATATGAGAAATTGCTTTGCAAATTTTGTAAAGTGCTAGGTATGTTACAGATCTCAAAAATTATAGTTTGTTTTTTCTGAAATGAATATATGTATATATCTCAAATGAAATAGAAATATATAAAAATAAAAGAGAAAAATA